GAGTCAAAAATGGTAGCTCATATTTTCTAGAAGTGGTAAAAATCCTTGCCACTTATCCTGCAGGTTTGGTGCTGTTTTCACCAGCAACCCAGTATTGTTTAACGGTAAATAATAACTTTTGAGCAACCCGTGGACCTTCCTCATGATCCACCATTTTCATCTTCCACCTCATGCCAGATGCAATTCTCTTCACTTTGTAAAGAACATCAGCATTGTCTCGGATTATAATAGCGCCTTCTGGTCTTAAGATTCGATCCATTTCTAAAAGGATGTCTTCTGCATTGCACCTGCAAACTTCTCGATTTAGCAATTGAAATACACAAATTGTAATTTTCCTTTGCTTTCTCAAGCATGTATAAAATGGTCATGCTGCGGATTTTGGGGCAATTTTATTGATTAATAATATCTAATCTGCAATCTTAATGCAACTCCCAAAGAAGAGCATTCAACTTTAACTAAATGACAACATTCGGGATAACTTACTTGTTCTTGTACAAGCTAAAAACACCGCTAGCGTGAATAAGGTCATAAGTCCTAGGGTATGTGGAGAAGGCTTCACACCTGCACGATAAGGAGAAATATGCCAAAAATATTGCAGAAAAAAATAAATAAAATTCAGAAAGTCTCATGCTATGAAGAGAAAAAGTTACAACTCATCATGCAACTTTAACCCAAACTATATTTTAACTATCATATAATTGCAAATCATAGTAGGAAGCATAAAATTATTAAGGCAGTCCATCTTTTTCAGTATTTTCCATAGTCTTTCTATTTTCTTTGATAAGAAATGCCCAAATCTGTCGATGGAAATATAAAGCAAAGAACAAAACGAGGTAAATATCGAAGAGAAGTACCAATCATGATATATGCCAATCAAGCCTCTTTCATATATAACACCCAGAGTATCTCTCTCGGCTAGTGTTGGCACAACGTTCATTACCCATAATTTTGGAGATTCTATCGCTGCAGCAAAACTTCCTAAATAGGCATTCATATCCATGATATTGCGATACCTTCCCGTATCAAGGAGTTTATTAATCCTCTTATAAGATTCAACATACTTCTGCCACATTTTATTGTCTTCATAGAATGCGCCAATGGAGACTCCAGGAATATCATCAGCCGCTATTCTTGGAGGAACGGCATTCAGTCTCTCTGGAAATGGCTTCAGTTTTCCACCTGCAACTTCATCCGAACTCAAAGTCTCAGGGTAAGGAGTCACACACGTCTCCATTTTTTGGTACCTACAATTTATCGTGAGATACTTATTTCAAGCCAAAGAAGAAGATCTATAAAAGTAAATCAGAAGGATGGCATAAAATGAATTTCTTGACTATAAAAATCAGAGCATACTGAGTTATAATTATCGACGTTTCTTAGTGTGTAGAACAAACAGGCACATAAATATTGGTCCCAAGAACCAGATGAGGTATGACATGAGATAAGTTTAAGATGGAGGTAGTCATCATAAGTTATGTGAAGATCCTAGGTTCTTCATGGCACCACAATCTTGTTTATCAAACCTTGAGAATTAACTATCTTATAATAAAACAAGATCTTCAAAATCTATTCCTCAAAGATATGCAACGTGCAACACAAAAAACAATTTTTTACTTAAAAATTCTAATGAATAAGATGTGTTCACCAAAAAAATGCAATTAACTTCGAAATAGAGCGAGTGAAAATTCAAAGAATTTTGATAGAATGTAAAAATTATGAGAAAATATACCAGACATTGTTTACGTATGAGGCTTTGCACATAGAGGCTGTATCTCGCTCCATGCAGTCCATATTATTTATTCGTTTCCTCCATATAGCAATTTCACCCTTCTCGTGCGTCTTTTCCCAGCAAAGAAGTTTGGCAATACCTTCAATCTTCCTCTGTTCCTGCTCAAGTTCCTCTTTAGGATGCTCCCATGCTTGATAATTATTCCTCCAGTTGATAGGAGGACCTGAAAGTATCCAGTATCCACCTGGTCTAAGCACTCGATCAACTTCAGTCATGTACATCCCGTCTATAGAAATGAATATGATTTTTCATTATGCACTGTACGACTGTCAAACTATACCAGAATTATTTGTGCTGCAGTTTAGTCGTTATGGACTAGGAATGACAACCTACGAGAAATTGTTATTTCAAACATCCACATAACATAACAAAATCTACAGAATTACTGTTCTCACCATTTGCGCCCCACGGAATTAAACAACGTGAACAGTGAGCCATGTCGAATGCTCTGGATGGATATGGAAGCTTTATAGTTCCTAGTACACCAATAACTGCAGGAACGCCCCTTTCAAGAGCGAACTGAACTTGTGCTTCATGCGAGTCTCTTGGAGCAAATGACATGGCAATGACATTTTTCTTAAACAGGTAGGCTCCCCAACTTGCCACCTAACAGGAATACACACTAGATCAATTATGGCAATCAAGATTACTAACGGTCCATTTGGAAAGGCTTTTGCAAAGACAAAAGCTACTTTTGATACTAAAAGCTGCTTTTTAGAAAGTTTTTGGAGGAAGTTAGCACAACTTGACTTCTTGAGGAAGCTGTTATATAAAAAGTAAAAGTAGAAGTTGAAGCTATCCAAATAGGCCTTAATAAAGGAATGATAAATGTAAGAAGTATATTTTTAGTCGAAAATTTCTGCGAATTTCTTAGTCATGTAATCATTTAATACGTCTATGAAGATAAAAGGTGATGTTGGTGCAGTGGGACTTGAAAACTAGACACGAGAAGCAAATCACGAATGAAATTGAAGGTTTTTCCTTCTCTCTGTCTTCTGGTTGACATAAATAAGATTTACTCACCCCACATCCCGTATCCAGAGCAGTTCTCACCGTACCATTGTCCATTGGGATCACAGCAGCAAGTTGTTCAATATAAGCATCTGCCCCTTGGGGAAACTGTGTTCCACCTCCCGGGAACCTAAATACATTACCTTCATATTGGACCCAGTTCTGAACTGCCTTCTCAACCGTCAAGCTCTTATGGGGTGCATTTGCATAAGGTACGTAGTCACGACTTTTAGGCCATTGGAATGGTGTCACATATCCTTTAGGTGCTGGGATAAGACAACGCAACTTCTCTTCATCAGGTGGGCAATGTCTTTCTCTATAAATCATATTTTCCCGAGGAAATGTCATTGCCCGCATTTGTTCTTGACATGGCGTATAATCAATGTATCTATCATCACACGGCTCATATATTTTAACCTCGAATTTGAAGTCGTCACCTTGGACCATCTTGTCACCATGATGAGTTTCGAATTCAATGTTCGAAGGGATACTGCAGTCCTTGGCCTTCTCTGTCATTTCGAGGGCTATACTGTCTCCCTTCCCTGCTCCACTTCTTTTCCATGCTCCTAAAAGATAGAAGAAACAACAAAGACCAGCTACAATAAACATCGAAACCGAATTTCTAGTTCTATTGTCTCCAGGATTCCCTTTTGTAGCCATGATTCACCTGTAACATTTTTTCAACAAAGTCACTTAAAGGCAGAGAAGAATGTTAAAGTGAAAGCTCGAAAACAAACCACCAGCATGCATTTTGCAAGTTTGAACATAATGTATGTGATTCATGCAAACGCACATGATAACTCGTTGGAATCTAAAAATTCAACGACAATTTTGTACCTCAAGACGCATTATCATTTGAGGTTAGCGGGTCTCAACGCCCGTGAGTCAAAATCCACCTATCTAAGGGTCTGGAATTGTAGTAAGAATCAATTTCCACGTAAACCTATTGCTTAAAGGACAATTTCAAATTTTCAATAATATGGCGAGTCATGTTCATTATTGTGCACGAACATTTATGCCAGAATCAGAGAGACTGGATAGTATAAAAGAAAAAGAAGAAGTCCAAATTTGTCTTAGCGAGTATTACACGCCAAACATGTCATTAATGTCTAATCTTATGTAAGTGATGATTGGTAAGAGAAAATAACCAAACTATAGAACTTTCTCCTCGTACATTTCCAAACCAAAATTGAAGAAGGTTCGTGCATAATCTATCCGCTGATTTCAATGCAACTTCACAAAAAAAA